TAGGCACCCAGACCACTTCAGCTTAATGAGGTGGTCTGGGTGCCAGGTCCAGCTAGGTTTAAGCATTTCTTCTATAAACATAGCATTTTCAGAGAAACTGCTATGTTTATATTAGGGTTAATCCAGCCTCTAGTGGCTGTCTCATTGACAGCCGCTAGAGGCGCTTAGGCGCTTCTCACTGTGAAAATCACAGTGAGAAGACACCAGCCTCCATAGGAAAGCATTGTGAATGCTTTCCTATGAGACTAGCTGAATGCGCGTGCGGCTCTTGCCGCGCATGCGCATTCAGCCGAGGAGGAGGAGAGGAGGAGGAGAGGAGGCGGAGAGGAGGTGGAGAGAAGGAGGAGAGTCCCCCGCCCGGTGCTGGAGAAAGAGGTAAGTTTAACCCCTTCCACCCCCTAGAGCCCGGCAGGAGGGGGACCCTGAGGGTGTGGGCACCCTCAGGGCACTATAGTGCCAGGAAAACAAGTATGTTTTCCTGGCACTATAGTGGTCCTTTAATCTCATAAGAAAAGTCATTAGATTAGAAAAGTGTAGGACCTGCCAAATATTGTGGCAGACTTTTGTTAAGTATGAACATTCTGTAACCTTCCACCTTTTTCTTATTGAATAGCTGTTTTTATAACTCCTATAAACTTTAAAGATAGTGTGGAATAGAATACACTCTATTATGTATTTTGTATCAGTTGATTCTCCAGTACCCTTATAAAGAAATACATACACATGCAGTAAGGTTCATAACACTGTAAGTGCATCGCCAGTTAGAATTAGATAGGTTCCAATAGTTCTAGTAAATTGACAGGCATATTTATAGAGCAAAAGATACAATATTTGTTGATTTTTGCCTTTCAGCCACTAGTGGGACTTCCGTGTTCATAGAACATGAAAAGTTTTTTAAGCAACGCTGGATGTCCTCACGCTATGTATAATGCTGTTTTTCTATGGTGAGGTCTAATGCGCATGCGTGGCCATTGCCGCGCATGCGCATTAGGTCTCCCCTGCCGGCTGACGTTGGTGGGGGAGGAGAGTAGGCAGAGAGTAGGCGTAGCCTGACCAGTGTCGAGGGACATCGGCGCTGGACTCCGGTAAGTCACTGAAGGGGTTTTAACCCCTTCAGCAACATGGGATGGGTGGTGGGAGGGAGAGAGGCACTCCATGGTCCTGCAGTGCCAGGAAAACTAACATGTTTTCCTGGCACAGGAGAATCCCTTTAACCTGATATGAACAGATAAATATAAGAATATGGCCTGCGTTACTTGCCTTGCAAGTCTAAAAGTATATAATAAACATAAACAAAGGAGTTTACCTTTTCCAAGACTATTTCTTATGACTTTGCCATAATTTCACTATGGATCAAATGAGCTGCCCTGACAAGGAAGGCCTGAGCTACAGTACATTCTCTTTGTATCCTCTACATGATGAGTAAGATTGCTAGGTAAAGCACCTAGATTTAATGAAAACATATAATAGAAATGATCATATAAAACATCAATAACTCCTTAACTTCTGGAATAAAAGGGAATCATGACAGAATGTTTCCTTAAGGGGTTAATATGCCATGTCAATGACTTTACTATATAAACCAATGGTTTTCAACAACCTTTTTCTCCGTATGTCATAGCAAATTAATTTTACTCTATAAATCCCATGTGGATTTAGTGACTGTGTGACATGTAATTACATTATGATTTTAAAAGATCCATTGTAACGGTACCCAGGTTCACAATCTGTTATATAGTATTAATACCAATCAAGATATAAAAATGTAAACAAGAAAACTAAATAATAATATGTTGCACCAAAATAGTGTAATTTGTAGCAATTTGCACATTGGACAAATATTCACTCTCTCATTAGAGATTTTACCTTCTAGCTGAAAACAGCAAGGTGAATTGTTATTGTAGGACACACCTAAGAGGTTTTGCCTTGACGTGGCAGATGAGCTTACACTTTAATGGCCATTTGAGTGATACTAAAAAAACCCTCCAGTTATTGAAATATGCATAGGGATTTGAAATGGTGCACAAGCAACTTTTTTCTTGAAATTTTCCCCTAAATCTTAAACATTTTTAATTAGGTGAACATTTTGCATATGTGCCAATTATTTTTAAAACACAGATTTAAATCTCACTATTTATTAGTAAGTATACTCAAATATTTTAGCTGATATTAGCAACTAGTTAGACACTGATAAAACTCCTCAAAGAGATCTGTCAGGTGATTGCTACGGTAGCCTATATTCAGAAATACGAACCAAAGTTAAGTTTAGACTAAGTAGGTAAAGCATCACAGAAATACAAGTATTTAAACATTACTTCACATTAATACCAAGAGTGAAGGACAGGAAAAAAACAATATGTATGTTTAACTATTTAGTGATAAAAGTTTATTTATTTCTGCTGCCATGGTAACAAAAGTTACAGAAACATATTCGTTTTGAATGTAAACTAAATGCTACAGTAGCATGAAACTAAATGCTACAGAAGTATGATCCTTAATATATATCTATTGAGGCATTTCAAAGATCCAATCAGTAGGAGTGACCAGAATCAATTATAAGCACTGCATATATGTGCACTATTACCCCATTTGTTAAGCACTTTGGTAAAGTCTCACTGCGAAATTTATTTGTGCTCTCTGCATTACCTTTAATAGATTCACTTTTTACTGTTTAAATAAAAGTGTATAATGTTTTCCCATTTAGTTAAATAGTGTTTTATTCTCTTCCAAAAGAAGATTTATAATTTCACCCAAGTTTTGACTCCTCGAGCAGTGAAATATGCACTAAAAAGTGTGATTATATACATATCTTGAATATATAACAACCTAAAGTTCAGCAAGGCATTGAACAGCAAAGTCCATTATAACTGAGCTGTGAGGCATCGCAAAAAACTACATTTAGCTGCTATGAAGACTGAATCCTGGGGGGTGGGGGCATGGCCTGATCATCACCGAGAGCAGTTGCATATATGCAGTGCTCCGGACTGAAATCGGCAAAACGCAATATATACCAAAAAATCAGCAGTGCCCTATCTACAACTCAGCTTCTAAATCATATCACACTATGGGGAAACAATCAAAAAAGTTAAAAACCTACTCAGTTGACAGCAAACAAAGAATCAGAGACATATTCATTGCGCGGCCTTTACCTAAAATGGCGGCGACGCCAGACTCCAAAGGCCTATCCTCGGAGGAGGACCCACTGGACTCCCCAGACGCCATACCAGAGGTGGATGACCCATTCTCGGCTATACAATTAGGAGACGTGGGGGCTCCTGCAATAAAAGGAGACATTCTGAGCCTACTGAAACACCTGCGCACATTTTTCCGCACAGATATAGCGGTACTCCGTGAAGAGGTTACAGCCATCACGGACAGGGTGAAGGCCACAGAAGAGGACATCTCCTCCATGGCACAATGCCAGTTAGGCCCAACGGAACAAATACAACAACTCTAGAGCTCTCACTACAGGCCAGAATAGATGCAATGGAGGATGCCAGGAGACACACCAATATAAAAAACGGTTCATTATTATGTTATGTTATTATTTATATAGCGCCAACAAATTCCGCAGCGCTTAACAGTGGGTGGACAAACAAACATGTAGTTGTAACCAGACAAGTTGGACACACAGGAAAATAGAAGTATAGGGCCCTGATCAATGAGCTTACAGGCTAGAGGGAATGGGGTAAATTGAACAAAAGGTTCATGACACGGAACTACCCCACTTCATCTGGCGCCTTCTTTCGGCAATCCAGCATCCAAGGCAGATCATACAAGTGGAAGGATCACACAGGCTCCCCAAGTCTCCAAGGCACCGGCAGCTGCACCCTGTGATGTTCTCCTTCGATTCCAGTCCCTCCGAGATAAACAAGCAGTGATGGATGCACTCAAGAACAAATGCCCATTCCCATTCAAATAATCATAGCTCACCTTTCTGCAGGATCTCTGCAGGGCATCACTGGATTGGAGACGCTCAGTCAGCCAGGTCACTAGGACCCTTCAAGAGGCCGGTATCCAATACAGATGGGACCCATCACACACACTTGTGACCACCCATGGAGAGACCACCTACCGACATCATCGGTGGCAGAATCTGCATCTTGGGGCTGGATGGGCTTAACTTTCCTTCTTTGTGCAGAAGTGTGCCGATGGACTGGACCATATAATTTTATTTTAGTTTTTATGTTAGTTTTTGTGCAACTTTTGCCAAGTTATACCACTTCTATAATTTCTAGCTGCTTTTAAATCAGCCCCTAATTTCCAGTCAGACCAACTTCAACCTCCCCCCTACTTTACTAAGCATTTGTCAGGAATATTAGGGGATCCTACACGCAGAGTGTAAAGGAATAGTAACGTATACGGGACCTTAGAATGGCCGCACTAATGTCACAAGGACAGAGAGTAATAAAGAACAAGCTGAGGTCAAATTGTAGAACTTGTTTATTTGTGTGCAAATCAGCCACATAATCGCTTTATCAGCCACTTGCATCTAGACCTCCCTCAGTGGGTAAAGGCTCCTAACTCGCATGGCTGAACTCCATGGCCAACAAGTTCCTCAATCCAAACTTTTTCATACCATAAATATAAAATTCTCGCACCAACCACCTTTATCCTTTAACACTTTATATACATAAACATACATTGCAGTGTATATGATGTCATGATGTTCTATTATCTTTTGTGTTTTATCGTGAGGCATAAATAAAGAATAATAAAAAAAAAAGACTGCATCCTATTAAGGACTAGGAAATTAAACTACTGTTGCCCATTTAAGAGAGAACTAGTCATAACAGCTCCCTACTACATGAGTGCAACTCTAATATTTCATAATTGCTATTCCAATAAATAATACAGTATTACACTATATTTTTGTATCTTTTTCATGAGGTGGAATCAGAGGGAAAGATTACTGCCAGTAACATCACTACAAATTACACTATTTTGGCACAGCATAATATTACTTGGTATTTTGTATACTTTTTTTGCAACAAAGTTTAAAGGGGACCTTTATTGTATGTGTTTGCTGCCTACTATTTAACAAAGTGCTATATAATTTTATATCTATTTAAAATATACAAATTACTTATAGGTTGTTATATTTTCATCAAACTTTTCAGAATTTAATTGCCTTAAAATAATCTGTCTATACTTTTCAACAATTTCTTCAGTTTCCATGCATAGTGCTTAGACTTCTTAAAACTAAAGATGAACATGTCTAACCTTTTAGCAATTCATACTGCTAAAATTCAAACTCTAAATGCTAATTAATGTCAAAACAGACCAAATGAAAGATTTCAGTTAATAAACACTAATTTAATCAAATGCATGGATAAAATTCTAACTTTCTTTTTACTTCAAATGTTGAAACTTTTTTTATCACCCTTCTGCCTTTAATTCATTAATACAAATCTGAATATTCTTTATTATTCTATCTGCTTTCATCATACACACAAACACTGCACCTCTCATGCACTGAAACATTCACACACACAAACACTGCACCCCTGACACGCACACTGCACCCCTCACACACATACACACTTCAACCCACACACACACTTCAACCCACACACACACTGCACCCCTCACTCACACACACTGCACCCTGCGCACACACACACACACACTCCATGTCTCACACACACACTGCACACCTCACATACACACACACTGCAATCTTCACTCACACATGCTTCACCCCTCACACACTACACCCCTGACACACACACTGCACCCCTCACACACTGAACCCCTCACTCACACACACTGCACCCTGCGCACACAAACACTGCTCCCTGCGCGCGCACACACACACACTGCACGTCTCACACACACACTGCACCCCTCACATACACACACACTGCAATCTCACTCACACACGCTTCACCCCTCACACACTACACCCCTCACACACTACACCCCTGACACACACACTGCACCTCTCGCACACACACACACACACTGCACCCTTCTCACACACACACACACACTGCATCCCTCACACACACCACACCCCTCACTCCCACACTTCACCCCAACACACCACACGCATTGCACCCCACACATCACACACACTAATACCCCTATCCCCTACTATAGTACCTTTCCCTTACTGCAGCTCATATCCTGGCAGACCCTGTTCTTAAACGGTTTGACTACTTACTCTGGGAGTGTGACATGGCACTCTTGGCACCCTAACCACTACAAAGAGCTGTAGTGGTTATAATCCCTGGATTGTACTACCAATGCCCCTCCCGAGATTAGGTTCTGAATCCTCCCCTGCTCGTCCCAATACGGTTGTATCTTATCGCAGTCGCACCATATGTGGCATATAGAGCTAATCACTGATTCACATCACCAGCAGATGTATGGTTTGGTTGGAAAAAATAGATGCAATAAAGATGGTGTACGGTAACAGTGGGAGATCAATATGAAGTTGACCTCCTGATAGTGGGAGCTCATCGAGCTTTTATGTTGTAGAATGAGTATCTTCTCCCACTAGTCATCAGAGAAGGTCCGGGAAGTCAGGTCTTCCCATTGTCTCTTGAAGGTATACATTTTCACCTTATCTCCCACCATGAGGCATTGGTAGAGGATGGATACTCTAAAATATGCGTCTAGCATCTGCGAGCAGAAGTCTTCATATCCCCATCAAGTCCCCAGCGGATCTTGTGTCTGAGTGGTAGATTATGGTAGAAATGTTTTAGTTGAGCATAGTGGAACTGAAGCATCAGTATAGTAGCTTCTCCTGTAATGAATTTCCATAGGTCACTCACACCTGATCTGCTTAGCACCCTTTGTAGGGGGAGAAACCCTTCCTGATCAGTCAAGGGCCAGACAGTTGATAGGAGTCCATCTCCCAGGTCTGGGTTGTGGGTCAGAGGAATCAGGGTTTTGGAGATAGATATGCCTCCTTCCTCAGAATGGTCCATATCTCTAGCGTTTGTGCTATGGGGGAGTCCTCCCCTAGGGTGATTGTAGCATCTGATTATCTATGCCATACCAATGCATATAGGGATTTGTTGGTGGTAGCTCACCTAGTGTTACCCATAACTTTTGGGGTGGGGCAGTATGCAAATCCCGAAGCCTCTTGAGTACCATTGCGTGGTAGTATTTGCGAAAGTCAGGTAATGCAAGCCCACTCCACTCCACTCTCTTGGAAGACAAAGATTAGCATGAGATAGTCTAGCTCTTTCGAGATCTCCTGCAAGACGACGATTGGTTCACAAGATTGGACCTCAAAGACACCTACCTATCAGTACCAATTCACACCGACAGCAGACGTTTCCTCCGCTTCACGTGGAACGACCGACCATGGCAGTTCACTTGCCTCCCTTTCGGCCTCAGTTCGGCCCCATGGTGTTTCACCAAACTGCTGAAGCCGGTGGTTACTCATCTGCGCGCAAGAGGAATTCGCTGCATTATATACCTGGACGACCTTCTAATCTTCTGCTCCGTCAAGTCACGACTCAGACTACACACACGTTTTGCCATGGAACTCCTAGAATCCCTAGGGTTTACGATAAACTAACTGAAATCAGCAACAACTCTGTCCCAAACCATACAATTCCTGGGATTCGAAATTGATTCAGTCTCCAGCACGCTCCTCCTGCCAACAGCCAAGATCTCGGCTATTCGGAAGGAAATCCGCAAGACGATCAGATGTCAATCGGTTCCCCTACGCAACCTAGCACAGATCGTGGGTCTCCTATCGGCATCCATCCAAGCCATCTTCCCGGGTCCACTCCACTACAGGGCGATGCAACGCCTCAAGGCATCCTTCCTCCGCCGAAATCCCACCTACGACCAACCAGTACCAATTACGGCAGAGGTCAAGGAGGAACTACACTGGTGGCTGGACAGCATGCAGGCCTGGAACGGCCAAGCGATATTCAGCGAAACCCCAGATTTCGTACTGGAATCGGATGCCAGCCTTTGGGGCTGGGGCGCCAAGAGTGAGGGAGTATCGACAGGAGGAGCCTGGACTTCACAGGAACTCAACCTGCATATCAACTGTCTCGAACTACTGGTGGGCTCCTTCGCCATACGCAGCCTGGCAAGGGACAAATCAGATTGTTGCATTCTCCACAGGATGGACAACATCTCGGCCGTCCGATATATCAACCACCTAGGCAGAGCTCGCTCGCGACTCCTATCCGAACTCATGAAAGAGGTGTTCGACTTCTGCCTTCCACGCAACATCTCCCTCAAGGTGGAATATCTCCCAGGGGAGTCGAACCTCACAGCCGACTGGTTCTCTCGCCATTGGAGACGGCAGCGATTGGATGCTGGACCGAGAGACATTCAATGCCCTCACGCAAATGAGAGGACCCTTCCATCTGGACCTCTTTGCATCCCGCAACAACAGACAAACACCAGACTTCTTCAGCTGGCTCCCAGATCCAGAATGCAAAGCAGTGGATGCTTTCCTACAGGCCTGGCCGCCCTTCGGCG